TGCTACAGATGTTTTTTTTTACCTTAATGTATAGAATGCATTAAGGTGAAAAACCTTCTGCCTTTAGAACCACTTTAATTTTGCACAGAGTGCGACAAGACTAGAACTTCATTAGCTTTCTGTTGCTGTCTGAGGCCTTGTTGGTATGTTTTGCCTTGACATCCTCTGCAGTTTTTAGCCAGATCAGAGAGCAATCTTCTATCAATGTAGTAACCACTCTTGGTGCAGCATTTATTAGAAGTTAAAAAATCTTTACTGATATCCATGATTCTCTGCTGAAATAAGAAACGCTAGTAGATTTGGCCCACCTAATCTTTCTCTCTAAACTGTTTTCCCCACTGACAGAAATAGGAGAGTTCAGTTGAGCTTAATGTTCTTTAAAGCGGAGTTCCTGAATTTGACAAGTACCAGCTCCTACTTCTGCTGGGATCGCCTAGGCGATCGGAATCGGACGTTGTCCTCCCTCCCTCCCCATAGTCTTCTGGGACATGTAACAAGTCCCATAAGACTACGGGGGCATTCACAAAGCACAGTGCTTTTACCGCATGCGCAGTGGGCCCCCGGCTGTAAAGCCACAAGCTGTAACAGCCCGGGGCCCACACTAAAGATACCGGCATCAGGGAGAGAAGACGGCCGGTGAAACCAGGGGTGGTGAGGACACCGCTGGACTGAGGGACAGGTAAGTGGCTGTATTTTAATAGTCAGCAGCTACAGTTTTTGTAGCTGCTGGCTTTTTTTTTTCAGCTGGAACTCTGCTTTAAGGAGTACTCTGTTCTCTCAGTTGTTGGGGAACATCCAAAGTGGGCATCATGCACAGTAAAGTTTGTTATTAGGACTCAGGGTGAGTTGAAATACAATATCTCTTTTGCATCAGGTAGAAGCTGCGCCTTTCTCTTTTTTTAATTAAAGAATAAATGGAACTATGCTTAGTTTTCTGCACAAAATAAATTCTTCTATGTCAATTTTGGAATATCGCTGAAGCCTAGAAAACATTGCAATAATTTAAAAGTTACGTGTTACTAAAAGATTTATTACAGCAAGGGAGATGTATCTCTTTCTGGCAGTGAAAAGTTTCTTTTGACATAATGTCAGTGCAAATTAGTCATATTTTCCCTGTCCAGCCTGATCCAAACCCCATAATTTTAAATTTGGAAAACAACAGAATTTGTTGTGTCTGCTGTACTGAGAAGGTAGAGCTCACCACAAAAGTGGGTACATCACACAGTTTAGAAGATACTGGAGCGTTTAATAAAAGAAGACCACATAGATGAGTTCTTGCTGGAAAACTTATTTTAAGCAACAGACAGCATGGATTGATAAAATACAGAAGTTGTCAAACAAATCTGATTTCTTTTTATGAGGAGGTGAGCAAAACCTTGGACAGAGGGGTGGCTGTGGACGTGGTATACTTTGATTTTGCAAACGCGTGTAACACAGTTCCCCACACACAGCTAATGTGTAAGGTAAAGTTTACAGGCTTGAAAAAATGGATAGAAAACTGGCTAAAAGATGATATTCAGAGAATAGTGGTTCATGATCCATACTCTGAATGGTCTAGGGTTGTTAGTGGTGTACCACAGGGTTCAGTGTTGGGACCCTTACTTTTTAATATATTTATAAATGATATAGGGTCTGGGATTAAAAATACTCTTCCAGTCTTTGCAGATGACACCAAGCTGTGCAGTGGAATAACGTCCTTGCAGGATGTCTCCAACTTACAAGCCAACCTCAATGCACTGTTTAATTGGCAACTATGTGGCAAATAAGGTTTAATGTCAATAAATGTGAGGAGGTTATGCACTTGCAGGCTAAGAATATGCATGCATCATACATACTAGGGGCAGTACAACTGGGGGAATCAATGGTGGAGAAGGATCTGGGAGTTCTACTAGATTATAAGCTTAATAATGGCATGCAATGCCAAGCTGTGGTTTTTAAAGCGAGCAAAATCCTTTTTTGTATTAAAAGAGATATAGACTCCAGAGAGAGAGAGAGATATCATTTTACCCCTGTACACATCATTAGTAATACCTCATCTGGAATATGCAGTTCAGTTTTGGGCACCAATTCACAAAAAGAACATTGGGGAACTGGAGAAAGTACAGAGAAGGGCAACCAAACTGATAAGAGGCATGGAGGAGCTCAGCTATGAGGAAAGATTAGAGAAACTGAATTTATTCTCTCTTGAAAAGAGGAGATTAAGGGGGGATATGATCACCATGTATAAATACATCAGTGGTTCATATAGTGAACTCTGTGTAGAGCTATTCACTCTGAGGTCTTTACGTCTGGAGGAAAAGAGATTTAATTTCCAAATACCGGAAAGGTTTCTTCACAGTAGGGCTGTGAAAATGTGGAATAGTCTCCTACAAGAGTTGGTTCTGGCCAGCTCAATAGATTGCTTTAAAAAAGGCCTCTATTCATTCCTAGATACACATAATATAACTGGATCCTAACATTTATAGGTAACGTTGATCCGGGGAATATCCAATTGCCTCTTGGGGGATCAGGAAGGAATTTTTTCCCTTGCAGGAGCAAATTGGGCCATGGTTTGCTGGGTTTTTTGCCTTCCTCTGGATCAACTGTGAGTATAGGATTATAACTATTTTTTTTGTTGAACTGGATGGGACTATGTAACTAAATGTATTACAAAATCAACAAAGAGTGCACTGCTGTAGTGTTTCCAATCTCATAATAAGTATCAAAATATGGATGCCTACTGATTGGGTTCAATCAATCCAAATTTTCAAACTTTTACAAATGAATTTAGTTTATATTGTTACTCCTATTTCAAATACATGCTTAATGTATATCCTGTTTGTAAACAATAAATCTGTTTTGGATAGATTTGGTGGTTGTTTAAAAACCATTTTAATAGCCTGTCCTACATTTTCTGTCCTGTGTCCCATTGGGGAGCTTTTCCATCTTTTTCTGTCTGAACACTTGAGACACAGAGACACTTTTTTATTGGAGTTTTTTTCTTTTGAGTAAAAGGATACAATATCTCTCCAAAGTAAGGTAAATCCTCTCCTAGACAGTCCACATGGGAACCCCTTTATAAGATTTCCCCTCTACTCCTGTTCTGGGGACAACTCAAAATTTTAGTTTTTTTTCTCACTTTCAGGTAGGTCACCAGGACGAATAGAAAGGGTGAATCTCTACAGTAGGGGCACAGAAATAAACACCTAACAGAAGTTCTAAGGAGCATTTAGTAAGGAAGTGCAAGCCATTAGAAGGCTGTAGGCATTGAGCCTTCATTTACAACAGGAATCACAGAGATTGGTCATAGTAATCACATGATACAGGGTCAGTTTCACCTTGTTCTATGATCTGCTGTGTTGGAGAGACACTGTGATCACAGAGCGTGCTGCTGTGTGCACAAGTCATGTATAAGAGACTGTTGTAGGAGATTGCATATATACACCCTCCCACATCAAGGCTTGTCCCGTCTCTTCCAATCACTATGTTAAAATGGCCTGACAGGACAAGAGTCGATGTGGTTAAACTATTGTGTACTTTACTTGAATTGTGTAACTTATTTAATTTTATGTGGTGAAAGAGTTTCTATTATTGGTATTTACTGTGTACTAATGCTCCATCCACCCACTTGCTTTTCAACCAGATGGTTTATGATTTTGTTTTGACAGTCGGACATCAAACATTTTATAGGATTACAGAAGCATTACATGTTTATAGGCTTGAAGTACTTGTTATTTATTATACCAATTTATGCATACTTGGTACTAATCTGTATTTGTTTCACGATCATTATTGTTGCCAGTTACTAATATTAATAAATTACTGTCAACAGTATTACGTGATACAAAACTATGCAATGCAGAAAATAATATTTAACAGTAAAATCACAACCACACAGTAGCAAATACTGAAATGAATTGTGCACAGTGTTTTGTTGCTTAAGATTACAATAAAAAAAAAACATTCCAGCAATTAAACATTGAGGCCCAGTAGACACCTTGGGGTCTTTTTAAAAAAATTTGTGCAAATATCTCAACATTCACAAAAATGTAACAAACAATATCCATTATTTTTGTAATATGTATGTAATAATTTCCTTGTTGCCTTTCACTAAGCAAATGTAACATTCCATAGCATTTAATTTCAGCGAAAAATATCTATAAGAACATCTGACCATGAGAGTCAACATTCACCAATAGAGATAATAGCCTAGGTGTTGACTCTTATGGTCAAATGAGTCAAAGAACATTTGACCAACAGGGAAAACAGGGAGACTTCTGCACTGTGTACAGTCTATAGAGATTCCTGTGTGAATGACTGAACAAATGGGTGTTTAGCTGAATTAACCTCCAGCTTCAGTGTGAAGCAAAACTATTATATCCAATGCTAAATGTGACAGCGTCATTCATCCCAAAACCCAGTGACTCATCCCTGCCTGGAAAATTCAGCTATCAACCGGGGATTTCCTACTCCCAGGTGAATGTAAACAAACACAGTGTGAAGAAAAAAAAAAAGAATGAGAGAGTTAGGGCCCCCAAAATGCAAACCAAGCCCTTTAGATCTGGAATGGGTTTTAAGGGGAACCCTGTAAAAAATGGCATTGGGACCATCTGAAAATTCCATACCAGACTCTTCAAATCTGGTATGGATTTTAAGGGGGAACCTCAAACTAATAACAAACAAAAAAACCCCATAAAGTTCCCCCCAAAAAACCCATACAAGACCCCTATATGAGCATGCAGCCTGGGTGGCCAGGAAAGAGGGAAGGAGCATGCAGTTCTTGAACCGTACCAGGCAACATGCCCTCACCATTGGGAAGCACTTTGCCAGGAGTGACCCCCTGACAAAGCACCTTGTATGTTGATAAGGACATTAAAAAAAGTAAATGGTAAATAAACACACACTTCTTGACAAATCCTTTAATTAGAAAAAAAAATGTCCCACAATGTAACTCCACCATTAAAAATGTTGTCTGGTGATGCAGATCTACATTAATAATGAGTCCCAATGGTCACTAACCCACTGAATGGAAAAAAAACTGGTACCCACAGACCCATTTGAACCTGATGCTTGACTCTTACCGAATTTCATCTCCTATCCCAACAGCTACAATATCAGAAAAATGGTGGGGGGTTTTGGGTGATGTCATTGACCATAAATGGACAACTTTTTTTTATCCCTGCTGTTTGTTTACACTGACCTGTCAGTTAGGAATCCCAGGCTGACAGTTGAATGTCTTGGGCAGGGATGAGTCACCAGTTTTTAGGATGCCATCAGGTGCTGGCTCCCTAACAACCAGGAGAAAGCTGAGGTGGTAATAATACCACTGTTAAATGTTTTGCTTCACACTGCAGCTGGGGATTTGTTCGGCCAAACACTGATTCTTCCAGCTGTTCACACAGGAATCTCCAAAGGCTGAACACAGTGTAGATATCATCCTCATTATTTCTCCTGCTGGTCAAATGTTTTTAGCCCATAGTGTTAGGTTATTTATAGCTTTTACAGTTATTTATCTCTCCTAGGATCAAATGCTAAGGAATGTTACAATCGCCCAGCAAGAGGCAGCAATGAAACTATTACACACATATTACAAATTTTACGGTTATTGTTCATTATACTTGTACAAATATTAAGACTTATGGAAGGAGAATTTTTTTTATAAAGGGACTCCCTGTACAGGGTTCCTTGCAGGTGGTCCTAACTGAGGATGAAGTTTGGGTTGACAGCAAATTTTATAGGTTGACAAATTTCATGAACCACAAACTTTTTGGCTGAAATGTTTCCAGGTTCACTGCTAGAAAAAGGAACAACCTATAATGCAGTACATAGCCTTTGTGCCTGGTCAGATGAGTCACGAGAGTCGGTAATTTGAAGGAATGGATAACCCTGTCCATAAACAGGTGGGGTCACAACAGACATATTGTAAGAGTGTGTCGGAGTTATTAAGAAAGGCTAACAGTTCTGTGTACAGAGAGATACTTTTGGCCCCCATGACAGTAGCCAGATGCTATGTCTTTTCCTTGACAATAGCTAATTTATTAAACCTGCAAATAGTCTGAATTAAATAACAAAAGTTACCCCCATTGACTTCAAAAGGGTTTGTTACAAAGTTCTTAAACTTTGAACTTTGAGCAAGATTCATAAAACTGTTCACAAACCAATGCAAGACAGATTTGCTCATTCCTAGTCCTGGCCTCTATTAAGCACTTCCGAAAGCAACCAGTTTGAAGGCAAGTATAGAGCTAATTGACTTACATTTGGGCAACTGCCAGGCTCAGTATAATGTTGATACAGCATGAATGGACATTGAGGTCATGACTACCTATTAACCTCCCTGGCGGTATTCCTGAGTGTAGCTCGGAGTAAAGTTTCAGCACCACAAGCGGTAACCCCGCGCTACACTTGGGAATACCTTGCAGCGCTGCTCCTCGATCTCTTCTTCACTTACCTTGTCCTTCGCTCCCGCGATGTCCCTTCTGCAGTGTCCCCGGCAATTTCCTCCGGCAGATGCCGGCATCTGTCTTCTGGGTTCCGTTCCCTGCGACGTCAGGACGTACGGGGGATGGAACTGACAGGAAATTTGTAAAAGTGACATTCACATAGTAAAACATTACTGTATCAAACCATTTATTTATTTCAGGTACTTATATAGCACCATCAATTTACGCAGCGCTTTACATATATATTGTACATTCACATCAGTCCCTAACCCTCAAGGGGTGTACAATCTATGGTCCCTAACTCACATTCATACATATACTAGGGCCAATTTAGACAGGATCCAATTAACCTACCAGCATGTCTTTGGAGTGTGGGAGGAAACCAGAGTACCTGGAGGGAACCCACGCAGGCACAGGGAGAACATGCAAACTCCAGGCAGGAGGTGTGGTGGCTGTGATTTGAACCAACAACCCTAGTACTGCCAGGCGGAAGTGCTAACCATTTAGCCACTGTGCTGCCCATAGCCACTGTGCTGCCACATTTCACATACATTTTGTCCCTAGTGCTTTGTCATGTGCCCTGCCTGCACTTTTTTTCGTTCTTTCTGCCTGTTAACTGAAAAATGTCCATGGCGTCCAAAAAGCGTCCCTTTAGGTCAAAAGCGGTTTTAGACCAGCTAGAGAACAGTGATAGTAAATTAGAACTACTTGCAGAATTGAGTGATGATTCGTGGGGAAATTCGTCATCAGACACTGAAAACAATTTTGCGACTTTGCTCATTGATGTGCGAACTTGGCGCTATATTTCAAATTTCAGTGTTTTTGGTTTGATTATATTATTAAACTAATTTATTATTATTATATTATTATTTTTATGATTATTTATTAGATTATAATTTATGTTTTAAAAATTACAGGCCTACAATAAAAAAAATCCATATTTCCATGCAAAAAAATGTACCACTTTGAGCACAGAAATATGGACATAATCAGACCACTAGGGAGGCTACTTCATATTGCTTCCTGCTAGGACAGTGGTCAAACCACAAACACACAGCTGCCTGAAAAAAATGTGAGTGTTAAAAGTTATTTTGCATCCAGTAGCTTATTGAAGCATCTTTTTTATACTCTGTTATATAGCATGTCCTGCATCCTTTTACATCCTGGGAAAAACACAAAATGTGCACAAAAGAATTATCAGAAATTACAACAAATAGTAGAATGAAACATTTTAATCTGAAGGAAATATATGCTCATATACAGTATTTAATATATTTCAGTCATAGCCAGGGATCTGTTTCTTTCTCTGCCACATGTAAAAGTGCACAAAATATGTAACACCCTTGCTGCAATGTCAGCTGCAGGATGTTAAAACCAACACAAGATGGCAGTGTCCTGCAAATTCAGTGGCAGGCACATTCTGCAGAGCAGCCCCATGGACCTTCTATGCTGAATCACAGGACTTTGCTAGGGAGCAGTGTATCAGAGGACTACTTTTCCCAGCAGTGCTGGCGTTTCAGTGGGGGCAGAAAATACAGAAGCTCGGGAGACTGGACAGGAAGTGAGAGAGCAGGAGAGGGGAAACAGAGAGAGAGGGGTGCTGACTGCTGGAGAACCGGACCAGTTTGTAGAGCTGGAGAGAGGAGAAGCAAGGAGGAGCCGCTGACCGCTGACTGCTGACCTTGCCACCTTGTTCAGTGAGACAGTCTGCCAGCAGGTGACACAAAGGCAGTGACCAGATGAAAAGCTACACGTGACACTGGAGAACCTGTGAGACCATTGCCACTGGTCACTGCATTCCAGAGTGGAGCTGCCCTTTTGCCAATAAGCCCATTTGTCAGTTTAACACTTTATTTGCCTAAAAGCTGCTCTGTTCCCAGCATATTAAAAAAGACAACACACAAGTCAAGTGTCAATTAGGGAAAGTCCTTGTTCTTTCTTCTACCTCCCCTTTGTGTAAATCCTGTCAGGAGCTATCGCCTACATCACCCACAGTCCTGCTTTTCTGCACCAACTGGGCCCCAGCAAGCATGCAAAAGGGTCCTCACTGCACTTAAAGGGACTTTTTGGTCAAAAAAGCTCTTCTACTTAAGATTTAAACCTTACCTTCAGACTCTGAGGGCCCAAAGTGAGCTATTCACATTGTTGCTAGTTCTTATTGCTCCCAGGGGTTGCCACCACTTCAGGTAGAAAGCCACTGGGTTCATTTCTGAAAGCAGGCCTGCTAACATTGAGTGAACATCTGCTATATGTGAAACTTCTTTGCTTAGAGTTGCTAAAAGTAATTATTGCCTTTCCAAGTATCAATACCAGTTTGTACTGTTCAGCCAAGTTTACATTGAAGTTTAATATAAACCTCATATCAGTTTTTATCTGTGTTTGAGTTTTCTTTCTGGTGTTAATTTACTCTTGTCAAAGGAACCTTGTGATGTCAACAGGGGTTGAGCTTTCAGAGAGGGGTCCAATGTGTCAGGGAGCCCGAAAATAACTCAGCGACTCCTAAGAGGGTAGTGCTACAAATACATAAATAAATGAACAACACCAGAAGGTGCAACTAATATCCAGTATCAGTAAGTCCCATTTAAATAATTGTTGCTTAAAAACCAAAAGATAAGTGAACTAATGCTGGTGCCATGTGTTTCTTTATAACTAAACTTAGAGTGCTATTAACTTTATATCCAGCTCTAGCCAAAATAAGCCAAAATGAGAGCCTACCTGGCCCTGGTGTGGAGCGGCTGGGAGATTGAGTATCTGAAGAGGTCTTACAGGAGAAAACAAAGAGAATCTGCAATCCAATTATGGGAAAACCAGTGACAGATAAATTGAAAATCGTAGGATCAGGCGGCCAAAAGGAATCTCGGCAGAAAGCCCCAGAGATGTGATTGTTAGCTTCCATAATTTTGGAGATAGGGAATGAACATGGAAAGGGTTTTGGGACTGTACTGAAATAAAATATGAAGAAACAACCCTCCATATTTTTGCGAACATATCTCCAGAGACGCTGGCGCGGAGGAGATCCTTGAAACCACTGCTGAATCAAATGAAAGAAAAAAGTTTGATATAACTGGAGCTTTCCAGCATGTCTAATCGGGTGGAAAGATGGAAGATCGGCAAGGCTGAGATTCCCAGAAGAATTTAATGGCTTTTGCGAGAAATTAGATGATGGGGGAAGGGGGAGAAAGGAGATAGGTCACACTTCAAACTGTCTATATCTGCTTTTTTCATTTCTTTGTTTTTCTTGGGGGGAACGGATATCTAGTAGGGCAGAAAAACAATAGCTAAAGTGAATGTTATGAACTTTATGACTTATAACGTAAAATGGCTGAACTCCCCCACTAAAAGACGTAAGATACCTAGGGAAGTTCACCAACACTCCATAGATTTAGTGTTTCTTCAAGAGATGCACATTTCCCATGATACAAATGTGAGGATCTATACAAAGCAATATTTACATGGTACTATGCAGACTCCCCAGTTAAAGGGGCTAAAAGGGTCGTGATAGGGTTGGCAAAGAAGGCGAGCTTCACTTTGAAGGGAAAAATGGAGGATCCAGAGGGTCAATTTTTACTTCTGAGGGGATATTTACAAGGAGTTGAATACACACTGACTAATATTTATTGTCCGAACCAAAACCCAGCTACAGTATATTTCTAGAAAGAGTGCTAAGATAACTTGCCGAATTTAGAAGAGGTAGCCTGGTTGTGGCGGGGGACTTAAACTTGTGTATTGATCCTTAGTTGGATTCGTCAGCTTGTACGAGGAGAGGGGGGGGAGGAATTTAAAATCATTAAAGAAATTACTTTATCAAGATCAACTAATTGATACTTGGAGAGTTAAACACCCAAGAGAAAAAGACTATACCTTCTTCTTTCCCGTAGATGGATCATACTCAAGACTGGATTACATAATGATCGAACATAGACAACTGGAATCGTTGGTGAGTGCCAACATACATGTTAAGTTTATTTCAGATCATGCTCCCATCACAATGAGACTACGGGTGGGTGGGGACCAAGATGAAATTTCATGGTGTAGATTAAATTAGATGCTTATCCAAGACCCAGAACTAGAAAAAAGATTAAGGGGGAAAATAGAGCAACTCTTTGAGCTTAATCAATAAACAAAATTCCGCACTCTGTCACTTATCAAAATATTCTACTAAACCCAATAGAAAAGTAAAACTTTCACCCTTGAAACTATAAATACATAAAACTAAACTCTTCTTCAAACCTAAATATGTCTAACTCAATATATATAATACATTAAAAAATACAAAAATGAATAATAAAATAATAATAAATATTAAATAAATAAATCCCAGAAAAGTATATAAAACTATATAGTCCAAAAGCAACCCCCCAAAAAAAATAAATAAATAATATATATATATATATATATATATATAAATAAAATGTCAAAAGTGTCTCTGTAGAAAAGTCTTTCCAAATTCTCAAACCAACTCGTATCCCTCTTCCATCATCCAGAATGGAATCTCAAACATTCTTCGTGAACCTCAAAAAAAATAAACTAATGATAGTGTATTACCCTTAAACTGAGCAAACATGCAAACTTGTGAAAACCGTGCATCATACCAACTGCATAACGTGTACTCACACGTGAAAAGGAAATATAAAAAAAAAAAAAAAAAATTTAAGAATAAATAAAATAATATATACAAAACTCAATCTCTCAATAGATAAATATACTTGTGATGATATTCAAAATCGTGCCCATTCCAACTTCAACCTATGAAACATAAGTGATCACTCCAAATAGTGAAATAAACCCCAAAACCTCTATTGTTGAGCCCTACAAACTCAATACTAGTGAAACAAAAAAGTGATCTCCTTCAACTGGTACAACAATGGATAGTTACCCTCTGGAAATATGTAACAAGCTTTAAACCAGTGGATATTAGTGAAACATAAAGTGATCTCCTCCAACTGGTGCAACAAATGGATAATTACCCTCTGGAAATAAATGACAGGATTTAAACCAATGGATGATAACACTCTCCAGACTTCCTAATGTTCCTGTGCCATTCTTCCATAAGGTGAAACAGGAGAAAATCAGCAGTATATATTAACCACTTGACCTCCTGAGGATTTACCCCCCTTAATGACCAGGCCTCTTTTTGCTACTCGGCACTGCACTAATTCAACTGATAATTGCGTGGTCATGAAATGCTGCACCCAAACAAAATTTACGTCCTTTTTTTCACACAAATAGAGCTTTCTTTCGGTGGTATTTGATCACCTGTGCACTTTTTATTTTTCACGCTATAAACAAAAAAAGGCCAAAAATTTTGAAGAAAAATTATATTTTTTACTTTCAGCTATAAAAAATATATAGGAAACTCAAAGTTAGTTATAAATTTAGGCCAAAATGTATTCTGCTACATGTTTTTGGTAAAAACAAAATCCCAATAAGTGTATATTGATTGCTTTGTGTGAAAGTTATAGAGTCTACAAACTATGGTATAGATACTGCAATTTACGCCATTTTTTGCTATACAGCGCTGCACTAGTTTAACGGTCAATTGCGCAGTCATGCAAAACGGTACATAAATGAAATTTTACATCCTTTTTGTTTATCACAAATTGAGCTTTCTTTCGGTAGTATTTGATCACATGTGCGGTTTTTATTTTTTGCGCTATAAAAAAAAAATGCTGACAATTTTGAGGAAAAAAACAATATTTTGGACTTTTTGCTATAAAACATGTCCAGTAAAAAAAAAATGTAAAAATCAAATTTAGTCATAAATTTCTGCCAAAATGCATTCTGCGACATGTCTTTGCTAAAAAAAAAAAACCCAATACGTGTAAATTAATTGGTTTATGTGAAAGTTATAGCGCTTACAAATGGCGGGAAAGATACTGGGATTTTTAGGTTTTTTTATACTAATAATGGCGGCGATCAGCGACTTATGGCGGGACTGCGGCAGACATTCTGACATTGGGGGGTACTGACTTGGGGTCACTGACATCCCCAGTGACACCAATACAGTGATCATTGCAAAAAAAAAAAACCACTGACACTGTACTAATGGCACTGGGGAGGAAGGGGTTAAGTTTATTATTCAGGGAAAGGGTTAACTGTGTGAGGGGAGTGTTTTACTAGGGGGCGGGGGTGTGTACTTCAGGGAACACGGCTGATCGGGAGAGAGAAACTCTTCTCTCCCAATCACCGTGTCCTGGAGCTGTCAGGGAACTGATCGAAAGCACAGCTACTGCAGCTGTGCTCTCTGTCAGCGATTGCCGCCGATCGCCGGGACATAGCCGGTACCGACCGGCTGTGACCCGGCGACTGACATCCGCGGCTGTGATCAGCAGGACAGGTAGGGCGGAGGCGCGCCTTGCGCGCGCCCCCTACCTGTTTTTAAAACGTGGTTTTGCCCAGCCATGCTGCCCTACCGCCGTATTTCTACAGTGGCTGGGCGGCATGTGGTTAAAATATAAATAAATCTTTATTATGCATCTTACATGAAAATAGAAGAATATCAGCTTCCAACCATCTAAAACAGCTCTGGTGTAATCCTGTGTACAGGGAACTGCATGTTCCCACTTCAAAAATGGCTGCGTCTGCACTTCCAGTTTGCGTGAGTGCGTCAGACGTCACGTGTTCCGATGCGTTTCATCACTTCCTGGACTTTTACAAGGGATCATTGCCATTTTTTCTTGAATAATCATATTTTATATTGGATTGTTCACCATTGTCACTTTATATTTACGAATATCACTTTCTCACTACCAAATTGCGAGACACTTATGGAATATCATTGACGTCAGCGCTTAATTTAAGCGCCACACTTTGTATCTGCCACTATTGTCACTTTCATTTATGCACTAGTGCCTTGTTTTTTATGATATTTTATAGTGCTGCATTTCACATTTTTTATATATATATATATATATATATATATATATATTATATATATATACACACACACACCATTATCCTTTTTTGGGATAATGCAGAAAATTATACTTAGGCTTATTTGGACAAATAAGAAACCGAGAATTAGGCACGAGACACCGAGGTAGGGCAAAAAGTAACAGGGGGTTGGGGATGCCAAATGTTAAGAGTTATTACCAAGAGGTATTGAGTAAGGCACAGTTAGGAAAGTTGGTGTGGGTTCCACACAAGTATCGCACATTAGATGGGAACACTAGTTCACTGACAGAGAAAGTTTTTAGTATGTGGGATAGACTGCACAAACAAAAGGGATGGAAATATAACTTGGGTATGATCCGCTTTGCGGGAACAGAGTATTTCCCTGCGGGGAAGGATATTTCCAGGAAATGGATTAAAAACCAGAATATATGTTTAAAAGATATATTGAGTAAGGTGAAGTTTTACACTAATAAAATAAAAAAAACCAAAACTTTATATCCAGCTCAATGTGGCTCTTTAGATGAAATGTGTGAAATTACATAAATTATTGCATGAATACTCAATATTTTTTTAGCATTTTCATTTGAAGTGTTTGTCTCTCTATTCTCATAAATTTTGCTTCACTTGTGGAAACTGGGGTATGTATAGCAAACATGGACATAGCAACATAGCAAATAGCGGATTGTATAAACTGTTCTAGCAATTTTTATAGACCAATAACAAAGATCGTTATTAATTTTTGTGTATACTAGCAACAGTATGCATGCTCAATGAATGGAATGACATAACCTAAAAAGAAAAAAATCATGATTGCATGAATGTACAAGACAGTGTGCAGAGTTCTGCAGCCTGGGAAATGTAATGCATAGCACTTCATACATAGTACAGCAGTTTGTGGTTCATGATGTTCTGTTACATTGGCAGAGGTCAGTGTAGAAGTGCCCAGGTACATTGCTGGTGTTCAGTACAAAGGTGCCTGTTGGCACAGTGGTGGTAACTGGAGAAGTGTGCGGCAGTGCTTTGGCAGTCAGTGAAATGTACATGGGTACAGTAGTGGTCAGGAGAGAAGTGAGCAGGTGCAGTAATTGATGTTTGAGCAGTGCCTGGGTGCAGTGGCAGTCTGAAAAAGTGTGCCAGTGCAATGGGAATTGGTAGAGTGTGTCAGTGCAGTGGCAAGCAGTGATGTATTTCAGTGCAGCGACAGTCAGATATTGACAGCAGTCAATGGAGAAATGTGTATTGGTGAAGTGGTAGAAGGTGAAGTGTACAAGGGCAGTGGCAGTCAATGGAGAAGTGTATCAGTACAGTTATGGTCATTCTAGAAGTGTTCTGGAACATTTATTGTGTATCAACCTTTATCCATCATCTTACATGGTGTATGTTGGTGTGAATTGAAAGTGGGCAGTGAATAAGTGTGTAAATGATGGGTGTGTCAATCTTTACTTACTTGCTGGGTCTGCCTTTAAAGTGTTAATAAACCCAGGACCCTGCATTCACTATATCTGTTCTCCTAAAGTACACAGAACATGGAAGTGCAATTAATTTAGTAAATATGAACTGCTAAATACCTTTTCTCATCAGAAGTTAGAGCAGTCTTGTGGCTTCTATCAGTCTTCAGCCAAGCACTAGCTAAAGCTTGTAGAAGGCATTTTCTTTCTGCTCTAGGAGGATGCAAAACCCCTGACCTCTGTCTGACCAGTGCTGATTGGCTCTGTGCTGATCACATACACTCTCCCAAGAAAAGAAAAAAAACATCTCTCTAGCAATACACACCAAACTGAGCATGTGCAACATGCCTACCATTCAGTCTATCTTATCAAGATATAAGAGGTGGTCGCTTAAACAAAGGGAGGAACAGAGCAATCAGGAACAAACTGCCTTTTTAACCTCCCTAGCGGTCTGATTATGTCCATATTTCTGTGCTCAAAGCAGTAAAATTTTTTTGCATGGAAATATGTATTTTTTTTTGTAGGCCTGTAATTTTTAGGAATAACTCACTGAAATCTGTCCGAACAAGTAAACATCCTGGGTATTTTAAAATTTGAAACACAAAATCATAAATTATAATTTAATAAATAATCATTAAAAAAATAATAATATAATAATAAATTTAATGCAATAATATAATTAAACCAAAAACACTGAAATTTGATATAGAGCGCCAAGTTCGCACATCACTGAGCAATCGCAAAATCATTTTCAGTGTCCGATGATGAATTTCCCCACGAATCATTATCACTCAATTCTGCAAGTAGTTCTAATTTACTATCGCTGTTCTCTAGCTGGTCTAAAGCCGATTTTGACCTAAAGGGATGCTTTCTGGACGCTATGGACGTTTCTCAGTTTCCAGGCAGAAAGAACAGTAAAAATGTAGGCAGGGCACAGGACAAAGCACTAGGGACAATATGTGAAATGGTTTTGTCAAGGATCCGGATATGACCAGAGATGTGTGGACTGACACAGGGAATAGCAGACTGCAGGAATGATGTAATAATATACTTTATTAAAATCTTACAACAATATACAGAAACGCACCGTGCAACCAAAACCAAACCTTCAACTAATAACTAGATGCTCAGGAACACAAGTGTAAACAGAGCTGGAGAAGTAGAATGGTCAGGCAGGCCGGGTCAGGATCAATTGGGCGGATAAGGTACAAAAGGAGCAGGCAGGAGAATGGTCAGGAATAGCCGGGGTCGGTGTATGCGGAGTTCTATCAGAGTCAGAGTCAAGCAGGGGGATCAGGCAGGTAGACAACAGGATGCAGATACAGGGGCTCATGGGAAAACACCAAGGCACTGATTGCAGGCCTGGTACTGCTTAAATACACCTCCTGCAATCAGCCTCAGGTGATGGCTTGATTGCAGGAGTGAGATCCTGGCTGCTGAAAGCACCCGCTGGCAAGCACCGGTACTGCAGCCCGCACAGCAGGTGAGCCACAGCACCACCAGCGATGAGTCTTTTCCTGACGGTACCCCCTTCCTGAAGGAGCGGCCTTAGGATGCTCCAAACAGTCCTTAATGGCAAAAATGTTCCACGCCCGGGTCATGTAACTGGCTGGATATCCCACTTCCGGAGTCAAGCGACTGGCTGGGTTTCCTGCTGGTAGACCTATCTTTTTGCAGGAGACCGCAGGAAGGCAGGTTGCTGGACACAGGATTTTCAGAAGCAGGCTGGGAATCAGGGGCTGGCACATCAGGCTGGGAAGCAAGCAGAGGCACATCAGGCTGGGCAGCGAGCAGAGGCACGTCAGGCTGGGCAGCGAGCAGAGGCACGTCAGGCTGGGCAGCAGGCACCGGGTCGTCAGGCTGGGCAGCTGGCACCGGGTCGTCAGGCTGGGCAGCAGGCACCGGGTCATCATTCTGGGTAGCGAGCAGAGGCACATCAGGCTGGGCAGCAAGCAGAGGCACATCAGGCTGGGCAGCGAGCAGAGGCACATCAGGATGGGCAGTGAGCAGAGGCACATCAGGATGGGCAGCAGGCACCGGGTCGTCGGGCTGGGCATCAGGCACCGGGTCGTCGGGCTGGGCAGAAGGCACCGGGTCGTCGGGATGGGCAGCAGGCACCGGGTTGTCGGGATGGGCAGCAGGCACCGGGTCGTCAGGCTGGGTAGCGAGCAGAGGCACATCAGGCTGGGCAGCGAGCAGAGACACATCAGGCTGGGCAGTGAGCAGAGGCACATCAGGATGGGCAGCGAGCAGAGGCACATCAGGCTAGGCAGCAGGCACCGGGTCATCAGGCTGGGCAGCAGGCACCGGGTCATCAGGTGGGCAGCAGGCCTCGGGTCGTCAGGCTGGGCAGCAGCCCCCGGGTCGTCAGGTGGGCAGCAGGCACCGGGTCGTCAGGCTGGGCAGCAGGCACCGGAACGTCAGGCTGGGCAGCAGGCACCGGGTCGTCAGGCTGGGCAGCAGGCACCGGGTCATCAGGCTGGGCAGCAGGCACCGGGTCATCAGGCTGGGCAGCAGGCACCGGGTCATTATGCTGGGCAGCAGGCACCGGATCATCAGGCTGGGCAGCAGGCACCGGGTCATTAGGCTGGGAAGGAGGCACTTGATCATCAGGCTGGATAACGGACACCGGGGCATCAGGCTGGATAATGGACACCGAGGCATCTGGCTGAATAGCGGACACCTGGGCATCCGGCTGGATAATGGGCATCGGATCATCCGGCTGGAAAGCGGGCATCGGGTCATACGGCTGGATAACGAGCATCGGGTCATCAGGCCGGATAGGATCATCAGGCTGGGTAGCGGGCACCAGATAATCAGGCTGGGTAGGATCATCAGGCTGGGTAACAGAAGGCGGGTTCTCAGACAGCAGGCTGACCCATTTGGATACTGTCTGGATGGTACTGGTTGGAAAGAATTTTCGCTTATTCTTGGGTTTAGTTACTGAAGCACTGCAAGTGAATGCAGGGCTGTAAACGGAGGGAGCAGTTGAAGACAGAGAAGAGCTGAAGGATGGAACAGAGGAGGGAGCAGTTGGTAAAGAGGACTTCTTTACAGGATTAAAAGCAGGATAGGTGCAGCGAGTGGGAACAGGGTACTGATATGTGGTTGATAGCAGGGCATACTGGGCCGTAACTGGGGGTGCTGTGGGGAATGAAGGAAGAGAGCTTTGAGAAGATGAATGATTAGAAGTGGGACTGGATTGTTGCAAGCTGACTGAGGCTGGGTGTAACAATTCTGACCATGTCTGTAATACCGGTTGAACAAAGCTTAGCTTACACGTAGCCTGTCTGACCAAAGACTGCACTGCGTTCATACAATCCACAAGCACATGTGGTGGACATGCTGAATAATGCTCAAAAAAGCAATCCAGATCATCCTCCAACAACCATACCAGTAATTCTACTTGATCTGTACTAAATGGCGGAGAAAAGTCATCCCTGCTTTCAGGGGTACTGGACAGTGCCAACTCAGCTTAAGCCTGGATCAATGGCTGCACCTTAGAAAACACTGTGCTCTGACCTACTAGGGAATGAGCAACCCTCATGCACTCTAGCAGCTGATCCCTGGCATACTCCTTCAGAATCTTATAGCCGTATTCTCTGTCTTCTATTACTGGCAGAGACAAGTACACAACCTCCTACGGATGCATCCTTCACAAATAACAAGCCAAGATGGCTTCCCTTTGCAGCCACTTCTGGTCAAGACTGGCCTTGGTGTTATGTCAAGGATCCGAATATAACCAGAGATGTGTGGACTGACACAGGGAATAGCAGACTGCAGGAATGATGTAATAATATACTTTATTAAAAGCTTACAACAATATACAGAAACGGACCGTGCAGCCAAAACCAAACCTTCAACTAATAACTAGATGCTCAGGAACACAGTCGTAGACAGAGCTGGAGAAGTAGAATGGTCAGGTAGGCCGGGTCAGGATCAATTGGGCGGCTAAGGTACAAAAGGAGCAGGCAGGAGAATGGTCAGGAATAGCCAAGGTCGGTGCAGGCGGAGTTCTATCAGAGTCAGAGTCAAGCAGGGGGATCAGGCAGGTAGACAATAGGATGCAGATACAGGGGCTCATGGGAAAACACCAAGGCACTGATTGCAGGCCTGGTACTGCTTAAATACACCTCCTGCAATCAGCCTCAGGTGATGGCTTGATTGCAGGAGTGAGATCCTGGCTGCTGAAAGCACCCGCTGGCAAGCACCGGTACTGCAGCCCACACAGCAGGTGAGCCCCAGCACCACCAGCGGTGAGTCTTTTCCTGACAGCTTTCATACAGTAATGTTTTACTATGTGATTTTAGTGTATTTAGTGAATGTCACTTTTTGTCATTTTCAAATTTGCCGCCAGTTTCGTCCCCCATACGTCCCGATGCTCACAGGGAACGGAACCCAGATGACAGATGCCGGCATCCGCCAGAGGACATTACAGGGGACACTGCAGGAGAGACATCGCGGGAGCGCAGGACAAGGTTAGAGAAGAACAGATCCCGAAGCAGCGCCGCATGGTAAGCCCAAGTGTAGCTCAAGGTTACCGCTTGTGGTACTGAAACTTTACCCCGAGCTACACTCGGGAATACCACCAGGGAGGCTACATAGAGCAGAGGATTAACCCCTTAGGTTCCACAGTGAGTATAACAAGCATGCTTTACTGCATATACAGACTGATTTTACTGTTGGCAGTTTAGTAACACTTTAATGATGTCATCAGTAATGGAATTATGCAGGCAGCATTAGTTAATCAATCTGCCCATACACTGCTTGAGTGGGAATGTGCTGTTGACATTTTTTTTCATCAGCACCATCCACCTCCAAATTGCTGAAGATGTGTGCTGTTGACTAAAAAATGTGAAAAGCACCTCTCCAGCAGCACAGAGACTTGTGGTTCTTGGTTGCCTTCAAACAATGCTCTACCAGTGCTCAAATATGCTCTAGGTGACAGATGTCTCTGTAATCATTTAGCTACATAAGATTTCATTTAGCAACATGATAGTATTAAATCAGAGCTCAAAGAAATGTAAATGGAAAAGACAGTGGTAGGTAAGTGTGCCGAGATCATAGTGGTACAGTTAGCTAAATGCTTTTGTTTGATGCAATTTCTACTTGTCCATGCTTTTTTGTGAATAAAGTTAGACATGCCAATTTACAGTGACTTATTCAAATAAAAAAATGAACTTATTAAATATATAAATAACAAAACTCTTTCAAATGAGTATTTAACAGGCCAAAAAGCACCTAACCCCAGGACATAACACCTAACCTGACCCAGATGTAGCCCTAACCCTTAACACAATCTTAACTTTAAAAAAAAAAAAAAAAAGACAAAAATTATGTATACTACATAAAAAAAGATTCAAAGCATTTTTAACCTAATGTTATTAAAGAAGATTGTTTGTCCTGCGACTGGAGACTGGAGGAGCAAGGTTGACATTATAATGGAGGCTGAGAATTTAATTTTTATATCTAAAAATAAGGAGGAACAATTCTGGGACTTCTGGGCATGATGGATGTACTTTTCATATGAGATCAATGTAGGATATCAATAGTTAAATTCATGCTACCATAGCTTGATTTACTAAACTCTTGCCAATATATTAATCATTGCCTCTTTTAGAATATTACCATGTACATCTCACTCGGCCATTCACTTCTGTAATGGGGCTACAAGCAATGCTATTGTATATGAATCTAACTGACAGCTGGCAACATTTTGTTGGTTTTACCATTTCTTTTAGTATGTATGTTTGAGTTCTTCCTTTATTTACATTTTTTTGTTTGCATGGATGTCCTTGTATACCAGCCTAGTCTGCAACACATGTAAATTAATGCTAAAGTTCTTCTCTTTTGGTATATTATAAGAGATAGGCACCCACATACTCTGACTGATTTATATGGTTTTGTTTTGTATATATTGAACCCAACTATGCAATTTATATGAGTGTCTTTTATGCAATGTATCCTTTTATCCAACTGTTTATATTCTTTTTTATGTACAGGCAGTCCCTGTGTTATGAACAAGATAGGTTCTGTAGGTTTGTTCTTAAGTTGAATTTGTATGTAAGTTGGAACAGATACATTTGTAAGTGTAACTCCAGGCAAAAAATTATTTTTAAGTTTTGAATAGCATAGGGATGGATTCACCGGCCATGCAGTGATGTGGGGTTCCACTGGACAGTATAGGTGGCAGCATGCGATAAGCAGAAAGATGGCCATTCAGTGGTTTCTGGGACCAGCATGACATCATGCTGCCTCTGTTCTTAAAGTGGAGTTCCACTCACCCTGTCAAAAAATAAAAAAGTCAGCAGCTACAAAAACTGTAGCTGCTGACTTAAAAAACAGACACTTACCTTTCCCTAGGTCCCACAGGTGTGTCCCCCGCAGCCCGTTCCTGTATTTCAGGAAGCTGGCATCTTCAGTGTGGGCACCCGGCTGTGATAGCTTGCGGCTTCACAGCCGGGTACCCACTGCACATGCGCGAGTAGCGCTGCGCTTCATGAATGGTCCTGTAGTCTTCTGGGACCTGTCACTTGTTCCAAAAGACTACAGGGAGGGAGGGAGAAAGGACACCTTCCATTTCCAATTGCCTAGGCGATCGGACCGGAAGTGGGAGCGGGTACCTGTCAAATTCGGGTACCCGCTCCCCCCTCTGCCCCCCAAAGGTGCCTATCCATAATGGGGAGCGGGGGAGCAGTCCTTAAAGCGGAACTTCCTCTTTTGGGTGGAGCTCCACTTTAAGTACGAGTCATGTGTAAGTTGGATGTTTATAATTTGGGGATGGCCTGTATTGAACCCATCTATGCAAATTATATGATTGTCTTCTATGCAATTCCTGATGTTGTGGACAATGCTATTTGCAAAATACTTTTTTTCTTGATTTTTTTTTATCTTGCAAAAATGAAAAAAAAATATTAACTATATTTAAATCAGAGCAGTGGATGTTGGAAAAAAATATTTCTCTTCTCACCCCCCCCCCCAGCCTAAAAGTTTGAGTGTTCCCTTGGAGAGTGGGGGTTACAGCCAGCAATGACCCTGTTATCAATGTCTCCTCACCTCTCCTGTTTAGGTTACACATACTCCAGACCCACAGCCTGCTACTCAGGGCGCAGGGAGTGTGGATATTGTCAACAATAGGCCTTTCATCCACAAAAATACAAGCTGACAACAGAACTGGCTACTACGCTAATCTACAATTAGTGTAGTACCTGACTTGTTCTAGTGTCAGATTGTGATTTTGTGAAAGCTTTTTTCTCCAGCTGCAATCATTTACAACACAAACTGACAGTTTCCACTCTCTACATGACCCTGAATATCTGGTTGTAGCTCCACACTCAGTATAAACTAAACAGGAGATATGAGGGAAAAGTACAGCAATACTATTTATGGCAGCTTGGAGAGGGAAAGTGGGGAATGTGCGAGCGTTGTGTGCCCTGCCTATCTTGCCCCCTCTCCGCCTGAGCTGTCAATTATAGTTCTGCCTCCATTCTTAGTGTTTTCTCAGCAACCTCTGCACATATTTAGAGGGGAACAAGTTTTATGTGCGCTAGATCCCTTGGGGGGAAAGGGGGGGTTGAAACTTTCCAGTGCATGTATTGTAAATTTAAGGAGAATGACTAACCACTTAGGAATTTTTTTTAAGTAATTCACCAAACATTCACAATAGAAAGGTTTACATCAGTTTCCCTCCCTCACTTTTAGTGCCAATTGAGCTTGAAGTGTCACAGCACTTGGAAGAAATACATGGGTCTCTGTACATGAAGTCTAATTTTGGATGATTTTGATTATCCTCTATAGGAATATGTGGGAGAGCCCACTAAACATAAGAAATATGGTGCCATGGCCAATGGGCACAAATTAAAATTGTCATCAAATCATCTCCCAAAGAGGGGTAAGCATATCTTCCTGGGTTTCGCTCACAAACAGTTTTGCCATTTTGCGCAAAATTTTGTAACTTTACAGTGAACCTGAACTGAAGTCTATAGGAAGGCAATTTTTGGCATTCAATTCTGTCTATTTGTAGGTCTAATAAGCAAATATTTGTGTTATCAAACAAAAGGCATAGGAAGACAGGCTCTGCGATGAGGGGCATGTACCAACACTGATACGCTGAATTGTGATTTCTCTACACACCTGAAGATGTCATACCTTGCTCACCCAGCACGTACTTAGCCTAAAAGCAGAGAGGATTAGCATGGGTACTTTAGACAATCAATAGGACAATAACGTTACTCTGAGAGAGAAGGTTAAACACCTGTAGTATTCTGACTAACAGTAATTAACAGAACTGAACTGCATTTGCCTAGCAACAGTATATAAAGACAGTCCTAACTTGCTATATCAGTCCCAGTTTTATCCCCCTGGCCAGTGATTGATGAAAAAAAAAAAAAAAAAAAACTTGGCTGGCAAAGTTCGGGTCCTTGAAGAAAGTACAACAGTTCCCAGCAGACAACAGATTAACTTGTATGACATTAGTCTCTTACCAGTTCCAGAACACCCTCTTCTGGGTCTCTGGACACATGCTCTGATTCAGTAAAAGTCCAGTTCAAGTCAGACAGAAATAAAAGTTGATGATGATATATCTTTGTTTAAATCCTGCTGAGACAGTCCTTATTTCCCTTTTTTACAAGTGGTGGGAGCACTATAGTACAGTCTGATCTCACCAGGCATTCAAATCACACCTCTCTGGAAGAAGGTTTTCAATCTCTTTGATTCTCTGGATCTCTGCCACAATTGGGTGAGAACTCAATCATCTAGCAGCAGCACGGTCTCTTTCCTGCATACCTGCTTGTTTCCAGGACTGTCCCCTCATTGCACAGTGTATGATGGCAGAAGCAGTCTCTAACCAGTCTTCTTCTCCTGGGCAGCGCAGCATCAGATAGCTCCATCAAACTCTGGCCACACACCACTATTCCCCATTCACTGCAATCATGTGGTGCACTCTCAATTGCTCAGCGCAGGAAAATGGTTGCAGCAGCATATACTCTCCACAGTAGCTTTCACCCTGCATTCTGCCCTCCGGTTGCAAAACAGAGCACCCTTTCTCCAGAAGTCCATTTCCCTTTGCTCTGTTGCATAAGCCACTCACTGTCCTCTAGACCCAGCAATGATGGCTGCCCCCTGCACTGGAGACACTATATAGATTTACAATATGGTCTCCTTAAAGATGGCTGATGCAGTTCTGTATTAATGAATATTCAGTTTAACCTTGTCCACATTACAGAAGAATAATATAGCAGCAACAAAGGAAGAAGTCCCACAGCAGTTATCAGTTACAGTCCAGGTTACACACATTATATATATACACTGCTCAAAAAAATTAAAGGAACATTTTGAAAACACATCAGGTCTCAATAGCGAAAAATATCATGCTGGATATCTATAATGATGGACTTGGTAATGTGTTAGGAACAGGTGCAACCTGGCGGTGTCAGATGGCTGGCTGCAACCTGGCTGTTCTCATCTGTGACCTGCCAATTCTGATGTTCAATGACAAATGCCAATCAAGCTGTATGGTGCCGGGCAGTGAGCACAGGGCCCACTAGAGGACGTCGGGCCCATCAGGCCACTCTCATTAAGTCTGTTTCTAATTGTTTGGTCA